GACCCCCATTTTATTTTACCTTAAAATGCTCGAAAAGTTCATAGCTTTGACATATTCGTTTTTAAAAAAAATCTACCGGGGAATTTTTACGAAAAATCGATTTAACCAATATTTTTTAGCCTTAAACTGAAATTAGAAAATGCCAAATTTAGACATAAATCTGAAAATAAAAGGATTTTTAAGTCTAAAACAACAAAGGGGAACGTTTACATTTCAAATTTAATTGTTTTTTCACATAATAATCATACTGACATGGTTCTAAAAGTCTTTGAATTTGGTGTAGTCGTTATTGTTGAAAGGATGAAAAAGTTTGGAAATAGGGTCAAAATCGCACATTTCGCTTCCATGTGAGGGGAAAACGAGCCTGGTGACCCCCTTTTTTCTTTGTATTTTTGGATTCAGCATAAAAAAAACTTCAAAATATGTGAAAATAAAAAAATTCTACCGGGGGTCCTTATTGGGGTGAGCCACCTTAAGATATCATTTCCTTAAAATTCAAAGTGTTGTATTTTGAATTTGTACAGCAAAATTGTGTATTCCATTTTAAATATGTACACTTAAAACAGAAAAATTACTCTGATAGATTCAACAATAACGTTGTGGTTAAATAGAATAAATTGTTTTAGAAACTGAAATGGAGAAAATGGCGTATTCGGTATATTATTTGATTGTTCGTTTTTATAATTTGAATATAATACTAATGAATATAATTTGTGGGGATATGGATAACATTTTAATAATGCTTGTGTTAAATATTAGGCTGGGTTTTTATTCAATTTTCAACAGAAACGCGTAACATAATCGAATTCATTCACTGTTGTTATATGTCCATTGGCAAATATAACAGTTATATCGGCAGTGCAAATGACGGCGTTAATGTTTTTGTTTGATGTTTTTCTGCTTTGTATCTGATGAGTCAAGCCTTTTTTAACTGATTTTTATAGTTTGTTTTTAAGATGTGCTGTTACACCACTGTCCCAGTTTAGGGGAGGGTTGAGCGCTCACAAACATGTTTAACCCCGCCACATTTGTTATGTGCCTGTTCAAAAGCAGGAGCCTGCATCTTAGTGGTTGTCGTTGGTTCATGTCTGTCATATTTGTTTTTCGTAAATTGTTTTGTTATAATTTAGGCCGTAAGTTTACTCAATTGAATTGTTTCATATTTTTCATGTCGGGGCCTTTTATAGCCGACTATACGGTATGGGTTTTTCTCGTTGTTGAAGGCAATACGTTTGCCTGTAATTGCTTGGTTGGTAGTTGTCTCATTGGCACTCATACCACATCTTCTTATTTTTTATATTAATCTTGAAATGTTTAAATGAAATCAAAAAGTAGTTTTCCTCTTAAGTTAAAGACAAACAAAACGGAATCCAGTTATGTATTTAATCATGCGGGTTTTTTAAAACTTTTTGCTTCCTTTCAGATAATAATGTAACCTGGAGACTGGCTACTGGAATGACGATATTAACAAGCTGCAACCCACGACCGGTTGCAGATGTTGGCGATGCCAACGATAGACAATGACTAGGACTTAGTCACTTGTCTGAGAAAACTCTCTTTTACAACACTGGTAGAATTAGGCACAAGTCCTATGCAGTAGTTAACAATTCATTAATTTCAGGATGGAATACATGTAGTTTTACAAATTAAGCGGATGTTGTCAGTTCGAATGTCTGACTCTCACTGAAGTAAGATCTTCAGAAAACATATTTAAATCAAGAATTTACAAGGTTACAATTTCACAATAGAAACGAGATTACCGAATGACAATGAAATAATTCAAAAATATCAAGTTAAAGAAAAATACTTCTTTTAAATAGTTCCAAATGAAGATACACAATTTCACAAACTAGCGCTATCACAAGGGGGAAAAATTTAAAATATTTTCAGTTTGCTTGTATTGCTATTTAAGACTCATCTAACATTTTTTTCGTTGTTATGAGCAAAGGGAAAGAAAAATGTTGGGTTATGCATGAAACACTGTTTTCTTATTGTATCTAATAGAATGGTTTGAAATATAAATTCACACTGTGTTTCTGAAATGACTTATAATTGAGCACACCCTAATCCGTTAAATAGCCTAGACTAGTTTGTTACATACCTGGAAATTTATTCTAGTTGTACCTTTTAATTTTTCTCAGACGATTCTACATCTAAGATTTATCAAAACGAAAAACACACATAATCTATTTATTTAACATATATGTTTAAATACTAGTTGTTTTCTCTCCCGAAATACCACATAAAGACACAAATAAAAAGACGTGCGTATCCAAAGGCATAAAACATAAATCTGGATGAACTTTATTTAAGATCTGTTTATGGTAATTAGTCTACTGTTCATAAATACTTCGTTACGTGAGTAGATGGTCAGCTTGATCTTAACATTTGCCTGTGGATCATTGGGTACAACACGGAGAAAATGAAAAGAAAACCGTTACCAAGTGAAATAAAATTCATTAAATCGTTATAATCTGAAGATTCGTTCTTAATATTTAAGGTGTACTTCAAGTTAGCACAGTATTTCCCAGGAATGGACAGTTATTTGGACTTTCTATATAACTTACCAATTTGTTCAATTGTTCATGCCTAATATTTTATAACTCTAACGATTAATAGACCTTTTCAACAATTGTCTACACCTACAGTTGAGAACGACTACGACAGGTGAGATATGAGGGGTCGTCTCAAAAATAAAATTAAAAAAAAATATTATTGATCGCATATGATTATTTTGATTGCCAATGAGACAACTATTAAACATGACGTGTCTAAAAGTAATTGTTGTGTACCGTAACTTATTTTGTTTATCAAGTATTTGCTTATAAAAATTAAACTTAGTTGTGAATTGACTATGAAGAAAAGGAAGGACTTCAATGTTTCATTTCTTTAGACGTCGAGTTGGAAAATTAAAAAAAAAAAAAAAAAAAAAAAAAAAAAATGTACTTTTGTAGTAGATGTTTAATTAATCAATGTTTTATTTCTGTTGACATGGGTGGTATATGTTTCTACAATGTCTGTTATTTTTGGCTTCGGATGCCTCAATGGTACTCATTAATCTATTTCTTTTTAATTCACCAATGTGATGTTCAACTTGAAATCGATATTTAGCGACAATGCAATTTAAATTTCGACTACTTCTCTGTAAATTGTCCAATTTGTCCGGTTTACTGTGCCATCGCTGGACTTGGTTGGCACATTGATAGATAAAACATAAATAGAAAATAACAAAATTCAATTAAATAGCAAAATAAATAAAAATGAAAATATCAGAAATAGAAAACATTGGCCCCGAGGTCATATGTTATAGGAATATCTAGAGTTCAGGAAATCATCGAACTGTGATATGACAGAATTTGTTAGATATCATCTTTACGCTAACAAATACAATAAAAAATACCTCCAGTTGGAGGACAGTGGTTGTTTTAAAGTGCCTTTTCGTGCCTTTGATTTGATAAAAAATATAAATCTGTAAATTAAAATAAAAATCCTGCCAATACTTGAAAATGAAGATATCTCTAGTAAAAAAAAGATTTATGACAGTGACAAAACGTAATAATACACAAAACAAATAGCCGTACAGATAAATCCTCGATGCCTTCATACCATACTATATGGGTTTTACTCGTTGATGAAGCCGGTCGTACGGTGACATGCAGTTGTTTACCTCGCTGTCCTTTGTTTACGTCATTGGCAGTCGTACAACATGTCAATATTTCCATTTTCTTTTTTTTAAATGCACATCACCATGCCTATATTTCTTTTCTTTTAAAATTTTATGTGAAAAATGAACAAAACACTCTGTATTTCTGACCGTATTTCCATTTTTGTAGAAAGTTTTGAATCGCTTGTTGACATCGGGAAAGGGTGCTCTCAGACACGCCCGCGTTCCAATGTCGTTAAACAAATTTTTTTTTAGAAGACCTCCAAAAGCGATCGTTTCCAAGACGAAGACCACGCGCTCGTTGTTAGAAACGTGATAAAAACTGCGCACTGTTAAAGGGCCGAGCCACCTTAAACCGAGGCTTATACTTCTTAAAGTCCACATTTCCTGCTAACGGAAATGATATGTGCATCTGGAGGTTGTAAAAGTAATGCTCCATTATACTGTGGAAATGTGATTTATATGAAACTGGGTGCAGTTATTGTCCTTAAAGAAAAAGAGGTTTAAAGTCTCATCACCAAACAGAAAAACAATTGATTATAACTAATTCTGAAATTAACTGATTCACAATTTTTTTATAAACACATAACCAACTCTTTGTTATATCTTAAATCTGCTTTTATACCTTGCGTTGCATTTGGGAGTTCCTGTTATCTAGTTTAAGTTTTAATTTAAACTTGGAATTTCATTTCAAGTTCAAGTTTGAATCCAAGTTCGAGTTAATTTTGTGATATTTTGAAACTAAATATTAAAATGAAATTCAAAACTTTGGAGTAGATGGTCAATTCTAGTTTTAAGTTCTATGATATTAAGACTATTACCATTATTCATTCTATTACTCTAGGACAAACAGTGATGTTTATAAAAAAAACAGCCATTCTTCAACACAAACATGAGAGTCACAGAAAGACAATAATCGTTCATGGGTGAATCAGAAACAAACAAAGTTATAAATTCATTCATTAGTCCTGACGTCAAAGAATTGAGAAGATATGCATATCAATCTCCTTGTTTGGTGAACATTAGATGATTTATCATTATGTCAGAGGGAAATATAAGTTTCGATGTGATTCCAGAGAGAGGTGAAAGCGTATCTCACAATTGCCTTGACAAAACATATATGATTCAAGTCGGCAAGCAAAAGCCAATATATATGCATGTAATATAAGTCCAATCGAATCTAAGACGTAAAGTCTACGTACTAAAATAGTTTTTATTCGAAAATCAGGACAAATTATATACAAAATTATACAATAAATATATACATGATGTACATACCATCAAAACTGCATAACATAATTTAAATATCTTCATAAAAAAGATAAAGACTTCCAATTTCAAGTTGAAAATTTGGAATAAGATATCACATTAAAGATCAACCAAGATTTTAAATCGAAATAAAGGAAACAAAAGGGCCCCTGCTATAATATATAAAATAAATTATATTATTCTATGAATGCTATATCTAACATTGTCTAATGCAAAACTGAACATAAAAGACTAATTTATAGTACATCTAGTTAAATAAGGTTTCAAAACAATACATCAGTATGGTAAATATACATAAGGACTTTTATACTATATATTATCATAGCATCAGAAAGGTCGTTTATCTGAATCAATTACAATTAAAAAAAACCTGACAGTGTCATGGTGTCAATACGCATTTTTACAATACGTCAATGTGGTCTTAACAAAATATCTATAGTCTACCCTAGCATTGTACATATATCACTGGAACATACATGCATGTAATCATAGTTTTGATAGGGAAAGTTAAACTTTAAGTCAGCATGGTATAAAAAAAAAAAATTTAACCGCACGCGAGTATGGTGGAAATTGGTTACTCGAATCATATGTTAGCATGATACAACGGGGTTTGTTAAAATAAAAGTCAGCATGGCATCCAAATGAGAATTCAACCATACGTCAGCATTGTACGAAAACAGAAATATTGATGTCAAAAAAGGGGAGCTAAACCATACGTTAGTATGGCGTCAAAAGGGAAGTAGCAAAACTAAAACAAAAATATCTATATCGAAAAAAAAACACAAACAAAACAAACAACAGTATAGAACCAATATACTAAATAGTTCACTTCATATCAAATAAAACTCCCAAATACACCAGAAAACAACAGTAGAGTGTTGAGTAGGGGAAGGCAAAACTTAGAATAATAAAATCCACACAACGAAAATGCCAACATGGCATTCAGCTCGAAATGCATTCTGAAAAAGCACTAATACAAGATACTGTTTGATTGATTTTGATTATTTGTTTTTTGCTAAACATCCATTAACGCGCGTCTTGCGCAAATACAAAATTTCAATCCTGGTATCTATGATGAGTTAATTTAGTGGCAAATACCTCATGTATGTTCAGGACGAGAACAAATAAACAATTATGCAAAGATAGGTCCTTTAATAAATGGTCGACCGGGATGAAGTGCTGAATATTAAGAATACCACTGGATATGAGGGTTTATGGACAGAAATTTTAAAATTATTTAGGAAAAAAAAACTAAAATAGGAAAGGCCAAAAATATACTAAACTTGTGTTTCATATAAGACATATTACGTGATGATACGTTTCAAGATAATACATGTAACAGAAGCGCATTTAAAAAATAATGTGCCTTCAGTAATGCAAGGTGCCAACATAGTTGAAATATCAAAATATAATACAAACGTTGAACAGCTGATCAAACCAAACAAGACCAAGAGTAAAGCCAAATGCAGTCAGGGATACGTAACTATTTAATAAATATCAAAATTTTGGATGTCGTTTACTGTATCATTTCTATAATTTGGATGTCTGGTAGTTTTGTATCATAATATATATTTATAGTATTTGTATTTATTTTGACAACACTATTATGATGTATTTTACGGAATATTGTTAAATACTATATTAAATAAATCTCTTCTATATCATTTCTATTGCGATGAATACATTTTTGACAGCAGAAATGTTTATGCTCGTAAAGACATATCCATTATAATTTGAAACAATCAACAATCGATTTGTAGGGTTTTGTTATACATGTGCAAAATGTATATACATGATTCTGTTAACAATTCACGTAGTGATAACTTCGTACAAATCTTGATTGCTGAAGCACAGTACGCAAATTCGATGGTTTAATTGAATGTACATGTATGCATTGGTAAGTTGTTGCCTGCAACATCATTTTATAAAAGCACTACACAAAAGTAAACCCAAAACGTGCGAAAACGATCCTCAATTCCTTAAATTTTCACTCCAGATTTAGCTTTAGCATTTAGTAATTATATTTGTAAATCATAAGCAATAAAGATTTGTACAATGTTATGTGATTCAGTGAGTGACGAAACTAACCTGAAACATATTGTGGATTCATTATTATTTATGGGATACCAATTGACGTAGATTTCATGGGTATATGTGAACTCAAATAAATGTTCAACGAAGTACAACATTTCTACAGGCTTGTATAAAGACTTTGCAAAACCACGAAATCAAATATCCTTGAAAATACTATTTTCCCTCAGTCCACAAAAATTGGTACCAATAAAAAAATAATGAATCCTCAGTATATGTAGTTTATGTGTATCAGTTTGAAGCGCTCAGTACTATTGGGAAACATAAAAGAACCATCACATAAAAAACTGTGAAAACTGCAAACAGAAAATAATCAAAGAATTCTGCTAGCTCCTTGTTGCTGTAAGGTTTAAATGGCTCACTACTCTCTAGACAGTCTCCTCCTTCTGTCGGTTTGGCATGCTCTGCAACCTGACTTTGATCAAGATGATTTATTCTTCCAGCTCTGCACTTTAATTTCATAAATTTTCTCGCCAAAGAATGCATCCAGTTGGGAGCCTTGTCGTGTTCTGGTTGATGGAAAAGTCTTATGATGAATATCGTAAAGATAATCACAAGACAGGCCATTCCCAATGTTACCGTTAGAAATACCACTGCAAAAAGAAACAAAAAAACATAGATTTGTTTACTTCAATTTAGAAACACGGAAACTACATTGTTAGGAAGGCAATTTAGAAGTTAATATATGATAAAAAAAAAATCTTTCTATTAACGAGTGATTAGCAATCTGAAAATATAAACGTTACTTTTTCTTTTCGTGCAATAATATAGAATTGTTGACTGATTATGATTTATTAACCCCAGAGATGTGATATTTATTAGAGACAACGGCCGAAGGTGAATGTCATATCTCTGGGGTTGATGAAAAGAAAAATAACAAAATAACTCAAAGGAAAATTCAAAACGGACAGTCCCTTATCAAATGGCAAAATCAAAAGCCCTAACACATCAAACGAATGGAAAACAACTGTCATATTCCTGACTTAGTAAAGGCATTTCCTTATGTAGAAAATGATGGATTTAACATGGTTTTATAGCTAAATACATAATTGTATTAACTGGTATCAAAAGTCAACAATAATTTTATTACAAAGTATATGACATTTATCTATCCATCTCCAAATTTTTAGTATTTGTTCAATACATGTATCTGCTCCTTACCTTAATTTTATTCTAAATATATTATCTGCTTTGGTAGTTGCTAAGTACTATTAAATGAAATATTCGATAAAAATAACTAACAAGCACCGAAAAAAAAAGAAAAATGACAATTTGCATGACGTCATAAACCGACGTCGTTGACGTTACCTAGGAAAAAAACTATTAAGGTACTAGTTAGCATGATTTTTCTCGCGTTGAATATAATGTTTTATGAAAGACGATTCCCTATGCTATTAGGCAATGAAAACAGAGACATTTTGTCTTCAAGTAACGGTTGATTTAATAAGAATGATTAGACATATTGTGTTGACGAATTACTACAATGTTGAGTAATGTGATATGACACAATTTTTTTATCTAGCTTCTTACGCGTTTTGTTTGAAGATGCTATCCTTTCGCGTAAGTAGCAACAAACAACTAATTTGAAAAGAGGTTAACTTTAAAATGACGGTAAATACAAGAAATTGGACACGAAATTAAACTGTTAATACTATTAACATTATGGGATATAAACCTCACTCTGAATTGGAATGTTTTCACTTTATACGGGACATTGACATAAAACATGTAAAAATCAAACATGATATAAACTAGAGGGTCAGCGATTACACACTTAGCTACATGTAGCAATAACAGTATAAACAGATGAGGAATGTACGCCGAGTGAACAGCAACTAAGGAACTAATGTAACCAAAATTATTGAATTCTGTAAACAAGTGGTGCTAATCCAAAGATGTCGATTTGAAATTTATATCCTATTATACATTCATTGCCTTCCGAAGTCACAAACATGTGATACGCAGGAATTATTTGTAAAGATTAAATTAAATAATATTCTCATTTAACCATGAAATATCGATTATCAAATACGTGACTAGACATAATGAAAAGTACAATAATTTCAAATAACTCAAGCACATTATGAACTAGATTCGAAAGCATATATCTTACACTCGCGTTCTATGTCACAACTTTTTTAAAACATCAATGGAATGACAAATATATATAGCATTGACACCGCAATCTGGTACATTATGTAGACGAAACAATAAGTGAACATGCATGTCTATAAAAACTGTTACTTTACCTAGAACTGATGTATGTTTTGAAGTTGTAGGCATACTGCCTGAAAATAACGTCAATAAAACAGCTAAAGCAAGTAACACTGTCAGGATATATCCGATCTTGCCTCCGGATTGAAGTGGCAGAAAAAACGTAACAAATGTTAAAACAGCAGTTAAAATGGTCGGAAATATAACACTCATGATGTAATGACCCGGAAATCTTTCTAACTCTATTCGGAACAATAGTTCCGAAAACACCAGGTCGTCTTCAATTAGCTGAGATGGGTACTGGGAGGTTGTTGTAAGATCCCATTCTCCATCTGGTCTGTAGTCTTCTAAATTTATATGAGTTTTGAAGAATGTAAGGTTAACAGCGTCTGCAGGGAAACCCCAGCTAGCCAATTCTATGTCGCAAGTTTGACTGTCATATGGAAAGAACGTAACATCCATGTCACACGAAGTGGACAGAACAGCGGGTGGTTCCCATCGTACTTCTCCGTCATATTGTATTCGGACTGTTTTTTCAGCACCAAGATTTTTTCTTAATTCCAAAACCCTAAAATTAAATTAAAAGAGTTATTTTGTAAGATATTTGTTATCCAGGAAAATCGGAGAACCGAAAACAATCGGTACGTCTTTATGTCTAAATGACTTAATAGATGAATATTTTTTTTAATGGTTATAGTAAATTAGACAGCAGTCCAACGCCACAAATATCGAAGTTATGTACTACTAGTAATTGACAAGTATATCATGTATATGGTAATTGAATATCTTTATCCGTTGTCATAGCGCGTTAACATTTACGTTTAAGTAAATTCTGCTTTTTATAAAAAAAAAAAATAGACGTATGCATTTTTAGATCACCGGGGCCGAAGTGCCGCATGTGAGCTGATGCCATCACTTGGCGTCCGTCGTCGTCTGTCGTCTGTCGTCGTAAACTATTTCAAGAATCTTCTCCTCTGCAAATACTTTTAAACTTTAACCAAATGTTCCTTAGTGTATCTAGTTAATAAATTGTATACAAAGTTTTGATCCATCAACCAACATGGCCGCCATGGCTAAAAATAGAAGATATGGGTCAAATGCCGTTTTTGGCTTATATCTCAAAAACTAAAGCATTAAGAGCAAATCTGACACAGGTAATAATGTTCAATAAATCAAGATCTATCAGCCCTGAAATTTTTAGACGAATCGAACAACCCATTATTGGTTGCTGTCACTAAATTGGAAATTTTGCAGTTTTTGGTTATTATCTTGATTATTTTTGAGATAAAGATAAACTGTAAACATAAAAAATGTTCAGTAAAGTAAGATCTACAAAAAATTTTTATATGACCAAAATTGTCAACTGACCCCTCAAGGACCCCTTAAGGAGTTATTGCCCTTTAAAGACATTTTTACATAATTTGTTCATCATGTTTGCTTACATTTAAAAATCTTCTCCTCTCAAAGTACTGTGCTTAATACTTCTAAACTTTAACTGAATGTTCCTAAATGTAACTGGTTTATACATTGTATCCCAAGTTTTGATCCATTAACAAACATAGGCGCCATGGCTAAAAGTAGAACATAGGGGACAGAAGCAGATTTTGGCTTATATCTCAAAAACTACAGCAGTTAGAGCAAAAGTGAATGAGAGTTAAAGTGATAAATGGGTCATGATCTATCTGTTATGAAATTTTAAGACGAGTTCGACAACCCATTGTTGGGAAGGTTTGGAAATAGTTTTTTTTAAATTTTACTGTCTTTGGTTATTTTCTTTAATATTATAATAGATAGAGAGAAAGTATAAATGTTCAGCTAAGTAAGATCTACAAATAAGTCAACATGATCAAAATAGTCAATTGACCCCTTGAGGAGTTACTGCCCTTAAAACGTTTTTTTTTTTTTTACATTTTTGTGAAGGTTCAATTACTTTTTAAAGCTCTTCTTCTCTGAAACTACTTTGCCAAATACTTAAAAACTTTAATTGAATGTTCCTTAGGGTATCTAGTTTATAGATTGTATTCGGGTATTTGATCCATCTACTTGTCAGTAATCTTCAGACCAATAGGACAACTTATTGTTTGGTTACTGTCCAGAAATAGTTAATTTTTAGGAAATTTTACAGTTTTGGGTTATGTATTATCTTTAATATCATTATAGAAACAGAGAAAGTGTAAATGACAAATTTCTTCAGCAAAGTAAGATCTACAAATAAGCCAAATAGATATAAGAAGATGTGGTATGAGTGCCAAGGAGACAACTCTCCATCCAAGTCACGATTTATAAAAGTAAACAATTATAGCTCAAAGTACGGTCTTCAACACGGAGCCTTGGTTCACACCGCACAGCAAGCTATAAAAGGCTCCAAAATTTACTAGTGTAAAACCATTCAAACGGGAAAACCAACGGTCTAATCTATATAAAAAACGAGGAACGAGAAACACTTATGAACCACATCAACAAACGACAACTACTGAACATCAAATTCCTGACCTAGGACAAGTGCAAACAATTGCAGCGGGTTTAAACGTTTTAATAGTACCAAACCTTCAACCTTATCTGAAACAATAGCGTAACGTCACAACATAGAAAGACACACCTTAAAATAGCAATTGAAATGGCTTAACTCAATCAAAAGACATATTAACACAAGTGAAAATACGCTGAGCGAATGAATTTCATCTATGATACAATGTAAATACAAAATCAATAAAATAAGGGATGAATAATTAAAGTAACAGTATTATACCGCTGTAAAATGTTAAACAATTTCAGAAAAATGCCTGTAACTAAAATTACAGCCAGGTGAACGATATCAGGCTCTCATGAGCCTCTTGTTATATGTAAACAATTTTGTAAGACTTAATAACCCTATTTTTAACTGTTTAATAACATACGAATTCTGCACAATCAATTCGGGGTGCCAAACTACATCCTCAGGTACATATATATATTCAACATTTCCATAGGACGATTTTTTCCAGGCCAATCGGCTATCATTCCATACCTAAAAATTTAAATGATAGGTAAAGCTTAATTAAATCAATGAATTTAATTACAAAAGTAAAGCTTACATTTATATATATAACAGTCTAAAACAATTGTACAGGGTCGTCTAAAAACGACAATGCCTCACAAACAAGAAACCAATACAAAAGTCTCAATCCTTGTTCAACGATGCAGATTAAATATAAATACATACGAACTAGATTAATGAAATTATATTTACAAATATTCCGGCACAGCGTACAAATGCATTCTTTCCAACTTTTGATAAAACCTTATTAGTTGTTGGTGTTGTAAAAGAGCTCACTCATACATGTAAACTTGTGTTTAGTTCTATAATCCTGCACTTTACGAATGAAGGTCAGTATTGGGACGTAAAAGCTACCAATTAATCTCTGCTCCCACGCGGGGAAGTCAATTAATATACAGCTGTCACGCCTACTTAGTGTATAATTTTGTGCTATTAATTAAGTGTAGGATTATAGAACAAAACATACGCCAAAACAATTGTCAATTGTCACTACGATTTCATTTCAACTTGTCCGTATATTTGTAATTTGTAAGACTTATATACATATATATAATACATGTATGTCTAATGAAAAAAAAACAACTAGCAAATTTAATAAGTACCGGTTGGTCTTGAATTGGCGATACTTCACAAATCCCGGCGAGGCAATAACAAAAATGAAACACACGTATACATGAATATCAATTATATGGTCATTTTCATAAATTTACTGTTACAAAACTTTGAATTTTTCGGATAACTAAGGTTTTTCTTATCCCAGGAATAGATTACCTTAGCCGTATTTGGCACAACTTTTTGGAATTTTGGGTCTTCAATACTCTTCAAGTTTGTACTTGTTTGGCTTTATAACTATTTTGATCTGAGCGTCACTGATGAGTCTTATGTAGACGAAACGCGCGTCTGGCGCATTAAATTATTATCCTGGTACCTTTGATAACTATGTATAGAAGTTCATTCCAGTACCAACTTTTTTCAACAGTGACCACGTCTCTTTTTAAAATAAAATATAATCAAACATAAATAGATATACTGACCACAGTAAACCATCCTGATGTCGACAATATCTGTGCCTTTATATCCTAAAACAGTTAAAACAAATAAAAACACAATTTGTAAGACAAAATAAGATCAGATACTACTGGGACACCTTAGACGGCGCTAGAATTATAAATAAACTATATTCCTCAGATAGAATCATATTTTGTGAATAAGACAAACCCTTTTTTGTGCATATACGAATTAAGTTACTTAGTGAGAGGACCTCATCTATATATCTGAACGTGAACTTAACGGATAATGCTAGCTTCTTTTCATTCTTATCATTCTAAGTAAGAAGCCATGGTATGAAGTCGGCTTCGAAAAGAAGAGGAACACAGTTAGTTCCATGGGAATGCCGATTGTTTGTTGAAAAACACGTCCTCCAAATGTAACAAATATGTTGTAAATCTACAAATCAAGCATCTTGATATTTTGGGTTTCAGAGATTTTTTGCTTGAATCGGTGATATATTGCAAAGTACGATTTATCTCTCCCTTAGACAAGATTCTTGTACCTACTTTGGCATTTCTGTTTTTAATAAACCATACAGGGCCAATTCTTTCAATTTGTCTTTTAGATTGGAATCGGGAATACTTGTGTAGAGGGTAGAAAAGTCAAATGTTTTAAAAATAAAGCAAGAGGAAAGAGACTTAGATTGTATGTACTCTAAATGATCTTTGAAATTTATAGGTACCTACATCTGATTCACGCCGTCACTAGAGTAGAAAATTTCCCAATAACTTTGAAGAGGCAAACAATTTCATTTACCAGTTTCATGATGAAATAGAATATATGAAGCAGATGAATAGTTCAGTGCTTTGTCACATAAGTGTGTACCAATTATAAGTGCACAATTGCTTGTTTATTACAATATATATATTACCTGCGCAGTCAACAGTAAAGGTCAATCAACGACTAAACTATTCAAGTAACTCATACGCTACTTGTGTTAAAGTTTTAAAATCTTCTTTAGAATTCAAATTGAGTATGAATTACTGTTGGGTTTGAATTTGTTTTGGTGAATTGTTCACTGCGGTACTTTTGCAGATCGCCAAATACAAAACACTGAGGGTATACTTACCAGTGCATTGACAGCCAGCAAGTTGTATTCTGCACTAACAATTACTGGGTAGGCTGGTAGCACCAGTTTATTGTAACCAGACTCTGTCTGATTAAATAACAATGTGTGAATATTATTTGCGTCGCTCACAGTGTATGCTGTTGAATGCTCCAATAAATCTAGAAAGAAAATATCCATTATTTTATGTACAGCAAGCTGCAATTATAATATGCACACATAGACATAACTACATGGTGTATACTGTAAATAATAAGTGTTTGTGTGTGTGTATGGGAAAAGAAAGAGATATTGGTTTATGTTAAAGAGACAACAAACACCTAATATATCTGTATCTATGTCAAGCCCTAAATATAAATCGAAAATCAGTTTGAAATATTTTTTTAACTCGCTATCAAAGTTCAGCAATACTGAACCACTCTCCAAACCTCAAAACATAATAATGTTTTAAAAATAACAACGTATGAGTCTCACAACTTAAAACATGCATGTGCGGTGGACTAAATCCAGCATTTAAAGAGTAGAAAAAGGTCAATAAAGCGCATACAGTAAAGGATCCCTTTTAATCGTAAATTAATCGATTACAGCAAAACATATGATATTATAATCAATTGCTTTTCGCTTTCATTTTGATGATACTTTGATAAAATTGTTTAATGAAATAGAACCGTGTTCCAATACAAATAGACATCTTCATGTATTATTCCGTTTAATGTACAGATCAAAAAGAGTGTATAAATATGACTAAAGAGTTCTATCAAATGCCTTATTCAGATCTGTTGTTTTCAAGTTGCCTTATGTTCAACCAGATTTACTGACAATTTTTACTTTATTTTCAGCTTTCGAAAACACTGACGTTAAAAACTACATAATATAATCATAATTTTAAGTTAAGTTCTATATAAAAAGGAAACGAAAAGCTTGATTGTATTAAATTTCCTTAAAGCAAAATAAACTAGACATCATTGAGATGGGACCCATCTCTGTGGGCCCGCTGTAAATAACAACTGTCAACTGAAACCAACGTTTTTGACCTTGACCTTTGACCTAGGAAGTTGTACAAACATTATGACACACCTTCTGGTGTTGGTTAATATACATGGCAAGTATAAAGTATGAAATTATAACGGTTCTCTAGATATAGAGCGGACACAATTTTTTACGGACGGACGGACAGACTGATCACTATAGGGCGACCCCTAATAATAAATTTTGAAAAAAAAAACTGATCAAAGATACCAAACTTATGATTTTTTTGTACGCCAGACTTGCGTTTCGTTTACAAAAACTTTGAAATGCCAAATAAAAAGTTTTAGTTTAGAATATATAAGTCATTAGTTCATCTTTATGTTATAATTTATAGATTGAGAAAGGATATAAATTTTTTCGATAATGAACAAATGTTTCGAAATTTTATTTCAGTTCTAGAAAAATATATCACATTTTGATACTTAAAATATATAATAATGTTCATGTATTTAAATAGGGAATAAAGAATATTGAATTGCCTTTTGTTTTTTGTAATCAGATGAATAAAACATTTGAATCAATAACTTACAGATTTACCTTTGATGTTCAATAATGTCTTATTAAGTATAAAGTAGATATAAGAAGATGTGGTATGAGTGCCAATGAGACAACTCTCCATTCAAGTCAAAATTTATAAAAGTAAACCATTATAGGTCAAAGTACGGTCTTCAACACGGAGCCTTGGCTCACACAGAACAGTAAGCTATAAAGGGCTCCAAAAATTACTAGTGTAAAACCATTCAAACGGGAAAACCAACGGTTTTATCTATATCAAAAACGAGAAACACTTAAGAACCACATCAACAAACGACAACTACTGAACATCAGATTCCTGACTTAGGACAGGTGCAAACAAATGCAGCGGGTTTAAACGTTTTAATGGTACCAAACATTTACCCTTTTTCTGAAACAATAGTGTAACATCACAACATAGAAAGACACACTATAAAATATCAACTGAAATAGCTTAACTCAATCAAAGGACATATTAACACCAATGAACATACAGTGAACAAATACATTTGACCTATGATAAAACTTACATTGCATTGCTTTAGAATATATATTTCATTCTATTGACAATTTTATAACCTGTAATTTCGGAATTTATACAAACAAAATGATAAAGTCCTGCACGTAATTAAAACTTTGAGATGTCCGTCTATAAATTTACTGGACATTGAGCGGCATAACAGGGTTTAACTTTCTTACTTATAACATGCAATTAAAAATTATCGAAAAGTAATGTTAGCACCTTTTAGAGAGTAACCGATACAACAGTCAGATTAATCAAGACATTTAGTAATTAATTTAAAAAGATCCTTATTAAATATGAAAACAACACGTTATAAATGTCATGCGTCCGAAGCACTTTTCTGGATTTACCTTCATCAGGAACGCTCGGAGCCGAATATTTGAAAGCCAGGAATACATAAGAACCAAAATTGTTGAATAGCTATAAATTATGATTCGATTGATTATGACGGTAATCGTGTCAATACTTTGCAAGCGCAGCTAACATTTATTTGCTTACCTGTCATTTTATAATAGTTGGATAATGCATGATTAAATTAAAACAAACATGCCCATTTTGGTACTTCCCTCCAACTTACCTATAAAGACAAGTAAAACTAAAACTCCTCTTCTTGCGCAGAGTACTTTAGGCATCATTTTCGGATTGAGATGTTAAGCCGTCAGCAGCAAATACAGTGATTTGTTTCTCAGTCTATTTTATATTTCGGTAAAGTATTTAGGAATTTACTTTATCGAAAGCACTTGTATGTTATATTTTTAAATTACGGCAAAACGTTCACATAAGTCGATGGAAGATGTTTTAATCATAAATACGGAATGCAGTGCTTTTATATAGGTTAAGAGTATTACCCAAATGGAATGAATCACAAAATCGGTTGACCCCAAAACAACCAACGCGAAGTCAAATCTTACAATTATTTAAATTAAAATTCATATGTCATTATTCATTTAATTTGATTTGTCTTTATTTATAAAGATTCACCTCCAGTGAGAAATAATATTCCATTGCATTTCCGGCTTGATACCATCTTAAAAGCACGAAAGATTGCTTTTTTCTAAATGATCACAAAGAAATCATTTAAATTCAATCCTGTTTGTAAAATTTGTACTCACATAAAACCTTTTCACCTTTCTTCCGTGTATCATTCTAGACAAAGTTAAGTATTAGTTATGAATTAGTGATGGATTGTTTTTATATAACCTGACGGTACTTCCTCTTGGAAGAATCACAAAAATATTGAGCCAAAAAAGCACCATAGCAATTAGAAATCATATGTCATTACGCATTTAATTTGATTTGTCTTTATTTATGAAGATTTACCTCCAGTGAGAAATAATATTCAATTGCATTTCCGGCTAGATACAATCTTGAAAGAACATAAGCATGCTTCTTTCTAATTAATCACAAAGAAATCAATCTTGTTTAATCCTCCGGTTGTCTGTATAATTTATACAAACAACAGATCTCTTGACTTTTTTTTTTTTTTTAGTTTAACATCCTTGAAAAGTTAACTAATATTTTTCATTAAATTTTGATATGACTTCCCTAATCTGACAGATAATCCCTTGCTATGACAGGGTGTTCATACAGCTGGATGTATAAATACCTCGGAGGGTGGGGTAGGGGGCACTTCAATACTTAATTGATATAGGGGGTGCCGCTGGGGCCCAATTTTTTCATATAATTTATATTTCAAAAATACTCTTTTTTGACGATATTACTGATTCACGAAATTTTTAACTATCAAAAGCTTTAAAACAAATAGTCTGCCTGACACTGTAATTTTTAGTGTAGACTAATCTTAGATAATTTTCTCATATTTTGCTGACTGTTTTGTTTTTACACATTTACTCATATTAGGATTTTTTAAAGTTAAATCCGAAGAAGTCTACAGATTTTGTTGGCAACTTTGTATTTTTATATCTATCTCTACTACTGTTCAGATGTCCTAGTTAAATACCTTCTATTTATATCTGTTCAGTTTATGACCGAATATCTCTATCATATTTTGGGACACTATAATTTCTTGCTTAAAATTAACCAAACAATGTTGCGCCTTATCCTAGCTGATTAAATCTTTCACTATATATTTTTCTTATCTTTTATTTATTTATGTACCTTTTGTATTTATGTCTTCTCTTAATTCACATGCTAGGATGTCATCGGCGATCACGAAGATGGTAGTCCTGAACGGACAGCCTTACCTAATCACCTGTTAAATGTCTTAGGTACAAATATCCAACAATTATTTGTTACACATCTATCAATATTTGTACATAAGACTATATCCAATTTGAAGGCCAAATTTTCTTAACGCACAGGACATAAACTCTCATTCAAAGCAATCAAACGCTTTTGAAAAGTCAAGAAATAAAACGATTCAATCCACATCGAGTTATTGAACTGTCTTGAATTTGTCTAATTTTAAAACCTATATATCTTAATGTATCTATCGTTCACATAGTCATTTTGTTCACTGTTAACTATTCTTTGAACAATTGATTTTAATCCTTGAGCTAGGGTATTATTTTAGAATCTACCTTCCTAGGTTATTGTTGTGTAATCATCGCAGTTAAGTGGGTATTTTTCAACTAATCTTTATTAGTCCAATCTTTTAAATATTCTTTGATTTCTTTTTTTTTTTCATACTATTTACATTAACAGAAAAACTTATTTTTTTAATATATGGCCATACGGTCCTTTACGACTCTACAGTCATACAGCTATTCCTGAAGATTTATTTCATCTAAAACACTGCTTTTGATCATTCTTTTTTTGTTAGCTTTCTTATTTATTTATTACTTACTTCTTGAGATAAGATGTAGTCATAATTACTCTTGAATTATTTAACATGATGCTTTTTTGAGGTTTAAACATAAGTCTTTTGTAGACGAAACGCGCGTCTGGCGCAAATACAAAATTTAAATCCTGGTATCTATGATGAGTTTATTCAAAGTAATCTCTTTCGAATTCTTATATTTTACTTTGATCATCTGCTATTATCTAATGGTTATCTTTTAAGGATATAATATATGTGCATGTTTGTCTATAATTTTCCCAAACTACAAAATATATTTTGACTTCCATTCTTCTTGTTTAATGCATCATCAAATTGTTTATTAATAGATTTTCGATCTGTGAATGTAATTCATTACCACTTATTTCACTAAGAAAGTAAGATATTCTATTTTATTTTCCAAAATTGTAAATACTCTCTTTTTTTGTCTAGACTTACAACAGTAAATTAGTTGTTTCCCTTACTTGAACTTTCAACAGGCCTCATATCACTATATGTTTTTTTAAATAGTGCTTCTACTTTACATTTATCTATAAGTCTCCAAATAATCTTTTGATATTTACTTTAATTGAGTAATCTAGTGTTTAATTTGAAATACTTTACCTTGATCTTGTAGTCTTGTAGTGTATGTACATCATTATTTTAAGCGAAATTGTCTGATGGCCTGTGCTGGCGACATATCTGTACTTAATATTATATTTTCTATGTCAGAATTTATCAGAAAGCAATCAATCCTGCTTGTTATATTGATATTATGTTTTCTGTGGCTCAATACAGGATCACTCACAGAATTTTGGGGACAATTTCTCTACAAAACTAGTTATACAAAACAGTAAATGTACTTTCTGTACAGTCTCAATAAAAACCATAGAACACATATTCTGGACATGTCCAAAGTATTTGATGTATGGGAAGAACTTAATAGATGGATATATACTAAAGTCCAAATTGAACTACCACTAAACTTAGACATAGTCCTATTTGGGATATTAGAAAAAATGGAAAAAAACTACATAAGAAACCTCATAATATTATTAACTAAATAATATATATACAGAACAAAAGAGCAAAGTGGACAAGTAAATATTGTAGCTTAAAAAAATTATCTTAAAGAAAATCTGTTTATTGAAAAAATAATATTTTATAAAAACAAGGCATCACAAAGGGTCCGAGTACACAGTTATCGTCCTTTGATTTTCGTTGTCCACGAATAAAGTCCCTAGTGTGGACAGTGTGTTGCTTGCCAATTTTTTTAGTACCCCTTCCAAATGTATTCCTTCATGTTTTATGCCTCAAATAGCAAGTAGGAGGATGAAATTACACTGTAAAAAAATTTGGGTCATGAATTGTAAAGTAAAGTAGTGATTTGGTCCAGCTGAAAAAGGTTAAAAATTAGCACTTCGGAAGCTGTCAAAAGATTTCAAGACCCCCTTAACATAGAATTGTCCATATTTTGAGTTAGAGCCGATGAAGTTTTCTATAATTTTGATATAATTTGTCCCAAAAGTAGTACAACACACTGTAAAAATATTATTGAGAAAGCGCAGGTGGGATTTTTTTTATTTTCATTTATTGTCTAAAAGAAATGCACTACAAAATAACTGTGTACTCGGACCAAAGAGTGTACTCCTGCTGGAACCCCTGGCTCCAACTACAAGTACATTTTTAAATAATAAAAATATCTTCCCAATCCAGACTGCCAATGTTTTTTTTTTTTTTTTGTTTACCATTATTATTTTTTTATTAGTTTGTCAAATTATTAAAAAAAACAACTGTATGTATTTGTAATTTGCTGATGTACTATGGACCTATTACCGTAATTAACCCATATACTATGATTATTTATATATGAAATTGTTTAGTTTTGCCAATAAACGCATAATCAAACAAAAAAAAAAACAAAAAACAAAAAAATTATGTTTTCTGTTCCTTGTAAACTTGTTTCTTGTAAGAATTAAATACTCTTAAATTATCCAGCAGATTATTGGTTGTTATCATATTTATTTAGCTTTTGACAATTTTTCTTTTTTACTAGCTGCAACTTTATTATGTCTGTTCTTTTCCATTAATAATAAATTCATATCACCGCCAGGTATTAAAATATCTAGACAATATTTGTCTAAAAATAGGCGTTTCTGTCATTTTCTCCATTTGGAGCGTACAGATTTACGTATGTTAAAATACTGTTTCTTATTTCTATATTAGGCACAATAATTCTGCCTTCTTTATCTTTCAAACAAATAATAATATAACGCTTTAATCCTTTGTAAACATCAAGATTCGGTTAGAATTCGAACTGCTTAGGCTATGGTATGCTTCGCCCTTTAACTCATTTTCTATGGTATTGATGCTACTTTTTATAAAATGTGTTTTTTGTGCAAACATTATATTGCAGTTCTGTTGTCTAGAGCGTTCTTCTTTCTTTTTTCCATGACCTTGACAGATCAAGCACCATTTGTGTAGCATTTAATTCATGTTCATATCAAGTGTGTTTACATAATATATTATACAATATATTTATTGTTTTTTTTTAATTTATTCCAATATTATATTTTTTTAAAACAAATGCAGTCATTAACGCTGAATTCCATCTGTGTACCTGGATTAGCTTTTTTGTAATAATGGTAAACATTTTCATCACAGAAATTTATTATTTTTAAATTTCTCCCCTATCCTATAAATAGATACACATGTATACTGGTAAAAAT